GACCTTTCCCTATTTTAGTCCTAGATAAAGGACTGGATTACAGTCAAAAGGCATGTAATTTTTATACTACTGAACAAAGAAGTCAATAAAAGTTTTGTAATAGTCGATAAGCATATTTTTGCATGACATAAAACCAGAACGGTCTAAACAGTTGAAGCTATTTTTTGAAGCAGTGATGATTTTTGTTTCTTAATCTTATTGATAGTAATTGTATTTCATCAAAAAACCTTGAAGTTTTCCTAATTACTATTTAAAAAATTTTACCTAGTTTGCTTACAATATTTAAAGACTGAATATTGTTATTTCCATTGGAAACCTGGGAATAGTACCAGATGCTTATTAATCTGTGGTGTACTGTAGCTACCCCTTCAAGTGCTATCTTTCTGAATGAGAAAAGCAAACAGCTCCTGAACTGCACTGAAAAAGTGATGTTCTTCTACGACAGGATTTGTGCAGGAGCATATTCTAACTGGAATTCTTTCCACTCTCTCATGCAAGGACAAACCCTACATTTCTACTACCCCCACCCATATTTAAAAAAAACCAAAAAACTATCTTATCTTTTCTTTCTTTCTTTTTTGTTTGTTTTTTTTTTCTTTTTACTTCTCTTTTTCATTCCTCTTTTCCCCAACAATTCCCAGGACTAAATTAAGAAGAAGAAACAATGCTTAGCTGTTCTAATATGAAGCCAGGCAATCCAGATAAACTGTTTCTTTGTCTTACAGATGCACCATGTTTGCAAGTCTGTAGTGAAACATAATGATAGAATGTATTTTCCTTCTCCCTCTGTATCTCATTAGTATCCGCAATTAGTTAAAATAGAAGACTTTAGCATGGTCATATTTAGAGAGATTTCTAATTTCTCAGTGGTTTGAGAATTCTCCACCCTGTTTCCCCAAAATCTTAGTTATGCCAAATTAGCATCTCATAAAACAAGACAGTCTACTTTATCTTTAATAGTATTGCCCATCTTTGTTGTGTTTAAGCATGTTTTCCCTTGATGTGTTATTTCAAAACCTTTTGATTGCCAAAGCCCTGTGGAATGCAAGTAACCAAGACAATCATAATTCTGCTGTGTTGTTTTTGGATGTCATCATGTCTACCACTTGACTGTTTCCTTTGAGAAATTTAGGGATAGTGATGCCACTGAAAGTCTTTGTGGATGTGGCACAATAAATTAACTGAGTCTTCTGGGGGAAACATTGTGTCAAAAAAAAAAAAAAGAAGAAGAAGAAAAATAAAAGAAGGCAAAAATGCTTCATCCTCTTTCAAAACCAGCTGATACAGGTTTCCACAGCTTTCTGCAGGTTCTCAGAAGTTTGTTCTGTGGTAATATGAATTTGTTCCTTGCTCTGAGCTGGCTGGAGATCCACTTTGTATGATTGGAGCAGAAGAGGATTTGTGGGAGGATCTTGCTAGTTCCTATCTACACGAATAGTGTAGAAAGTGGTGGCACTGACAGAGCCTTGAGCAGTACAGGCACTGTCTGGCTCCTATAATGGTTCCTCAAATTTCGGCATAATCTTTGCTATTGAAATGCACAGACTTATGCTTGTCACCCCTAAAATAATAATAATAGTTAAGCCAATAGTTAAGGCAGAAAATCCAGAAAAGAAAATGACAAATCTTTGGGAAAAAACCTACCAAGCACTAACTTCTAATTGTCTGGAAAGTGCTTTACTCCACTAAGCTCCAATTCACCTCCTCAGTGCTGCCGAGCAGGGGTGACAGGTATTGCAAAACAAGATGCAGCAACTTTTTGTAGCCTTATGCTTAGTGTTTCACTGCCAGAATGTGTCCTCTGGACTGCACACTTCTCATATGTGCCTTGTGCCAGCTCTAGTGCTAGTCAGAGCTCTCCGCACTTAGCTTGGTCGTGAGCCAAGTGAGAATCTATCCCCACTCCCCCAAAGAGTCACATTTGTGTGCTGAGTCAGTGCACAGAGTAGTCAAGGTGGTATCAAAGCTGCCATCTGTGAGATGGTGGGGCTGGGTGAGGGATGAGGGGGCAAAGTGCATTGAGAGAAAAGAGTGCAGCAGCTACTAGGTAAGCTGAGGTGCCTGAAGTGTGATGGCCTTGGTGCTCAGGGCACCCAAAAGGGACCTGGTGGTCACAATGTCTTGTGCTTCTAAAGGGACAGAAATCACTCTCCTTTATGTCTGGCAGTGTTTTGGCCCATAGCCATTAGCCTGTGAGGTACTCTAAGTAAGAGTTTTACCTTCATGTGGCTGTAGAGTGTGGAGACTCTGGATTCCTTCTAAACGAAAGCCCTCAGCGAAAGATTGCTTGGGACAGAGGAGACTGGGTGTTTGGGAAGACTTTGCTGCTGTGTCAGGGTACTTTCATAGCTCTTTATTGAAGTAGAGTCTGTGACACCCTCTTTTCCACACAGCTAAGTGCTGGAAACACAGAACTCTATGGTCTTCCTTTTACTGTCACCTTGTGGATTATTACTGACCTAGTGCACAGTGGAACAGATTCAATTAGAGGGGTGCAAGACACCCTCTTCAAGCTGCATTTGAACAGTTAGAGCAGTACTGATTTGTGCATTGAAATCTTACTGAATAAAGAATAAAAAATAAAGATAAAGAATTTGCCAAGGACATTCAATTCTGACTCCTAATTAAAAGCCAAGACTCCTTTTTCTTCTGCTCATGTTTGGTGTGGAAAATCTATTTCATCATATGTCTTCAAAAATATCTGCTTGAATAGGTCCTGCAGGTGAGTCAAATGGGGTGGAAAACAAGACTAGTGATCTTTCTCAGGTCTGAGGCTGTGACAAAGCCCAATCTCAGCAGTTAGTGCTCAGACTCTGGATTTCTGTAGGTGACAAGTAGCTGCTGAGCCTGCCATGCAAGGCTGAGCATCTGTGTCCCATCTGCATGGTCATGCAAGTATGAATTCCTTCAGCAAAGAAATTGGTTTACAGCGACCTATATTTTGGAAAATTCAGTAATCACCAGTTTTTAAGTCCTTTTAATGTGTCTAACTCAATTCGCATGTTGAAAATAAAGCATAGTTGTGTTTTTACATGCTTGTAACTTGTCACCTCACTGAACTGCAGTCAGAGATTTCCTGTGGTTCCTGGAAGCTTCTTGTCCTGTTGTTGCTGTGCAGAAGGGCTATGCAAATTTCCTAGAGCTAAAGCAAAGCAGCTATTCTTCTCAGTGAGTGCCAGGATTGTGCTGCTGCATTGTGTGCAGTCCAGAACAGCAAACATCTATCACATTGAACTCCCAGGGCTCAGCTGTGCCTTAAAGACATGGTTTAGCTTTTAACAGAGCTGATCAGCACACTGTGTTCTGACTGTCATTCCTAAAGAACAAAATGACAGATGGGCTTATGATACGTTTGTCTGGAGGTAGAGAATGAGAAGAGCAAGTTGGTTACTAATTACCTTCTCACCACTGAAAGGAGAAATGTCCCCATGCTTGACACAATTCGCATGGATGTGTCAAAACTAATGAACATTTTCACCCTCAGCTGTCCCAGAGTGAGCTTCACACCATTGTGTCCCATGTGGCCCTGAGATCTTAATGCAGCCATTTGCATTCATCAGGGCAGCACAGACACAATGTGAGAGTTCAAGAGTTTTGAAATGCATCTCTGTCATCAAGATGCCCTGCAGCAGGAGTGCTGCTGAGTAACAGCCATGGGTCATATCAGTGCACTGTTACTGTTGATCTTCATTACATTTTCTTTCTTTAAGGTCTTTGCATCTGATTATCAATAAAATATTTTTTCTTTCAGATCTGTTATTCAGATTACTGTTTCTAAATTGGTATGACTACTCTTATGTAAAAAAAATATTCCTGATGGTCTCTGAAGTAATACATAAAACTGCAATTCCATTTAATTATTGTTGGTTTTATTTGTTATTTAATTGTTGGGATGAGTTTAGACACATGAGAGAAATCCCCTTCAACTGTGCAAGAAGACACAGTAATCTTAAGACATAAGGTACTCCTGAGGGTGAGCTAAGGTGTTAGAACTGTGTTCCTAATGGCTGTATGTATCACATAATATAAATTATCTTGATTTTAAATTATATTTAAAATTCATTACAGTTAAATGCTGATAAGATCCTTGGTACGGTCCTTAAGAGTTACTAGCCATTACCCAAAGGAATCATATTTCCTTTGATTATTTTTTAAATACTGCTCTAATACTTATGTTCCTTGACCAGTCTATTATTCTAACAATCCAATAAGTAGATACATTAAATACTGCAAATTAAATTATCACTTAATCCTATATCTAAAAAAAGATTTGGTTTGGAAATGTTTTCAGATTTGATCAATGAGATTTATCAACTCAGACTCCAGAATTCTTTGCTAGTTCTTGTCATACTGAAAGATTACTACAGAGGTGGAGAGTGGGAAATGCTGAAAGCAGTGCATTACTTGACTAGGCTTGAAGATAGGACAGCTCATTTGCAGGACTGCATTTGAAAAATAAAATTGGAAAAATGAAGCATAGCTATCTGGCAATAGAAACAGAGGCTGATATTTTAAGGAGTATAGCTGCTGCTAATATTTAGGTAAGTGCTCGAGGCCATTTTCCTCCATTTGAAAACTGATGCAATACCAATTTAAGTGATGCAGTCAGTATATTGGGTATTCTGTTTGTTTGATTTTTGACACTGCCTTGACAGAGGTAAGGTGACCCTTAATGCCAGCAGTTTGTTTTCAGTTTGTACAATTATGGTGGGTCTTTACTGTCAATCTAATCAGTAGCCGGAGGTACAATCTTCATGTGGGACTTATTCAGAGTGTTTAATCTGAAGGAAGTAATTTCAGAGAGTCAATGAGCACTTAAGTGCTGCTCACAGGCTCTCAGAGTTTAAAAAAAATCTGTTGTTTTAATCTGAGCCTTTTTAGTTTTGAAAACAACCCCCTTCAAAACAGATTTCACCCTCTACTTTTGTTACTTTTGGACCTTTTTGTTTATCTTTTGGCTGATTTATTTTTCCTCTTTCTCTCCAGCTTCTTGGTTGCTCCTCAATATCCAAAGCACAAGCTATCATTGCTGTGACAAAGGGTGGGATGCACCCTCTCCACAGCACTCAGATATTTTCCTCATGGCTCTCCGTGTGAAGTCGACCTTCCCTCTTTCTTTCTTGAGAGCTGTGTACTCATAGGCCTTCAGCTTGCTGTAATAGTCTGAGAATTTATTGTAGAGGATGGAGATGGGCATGCCATTCAGGATTATTCCAAAAGCAATGCAGAGGAAAGCAAACAGGCGTCCAAGGTGAGTTTCTGGACACATATCTCCATATCCCACTGTAGAGATGCTGACCTACAGGCAAACCAACACACAGCTTATTAGCTGAGAAGAAATACATAGACAGATATGTTCACCCATCAGAGACAATGTTAAAGTTAACTCTCTTGTACTTCGCATTTTAAATCTGAAAAAAATACTCTGTGATGCTTTTGTGTGCTTGTTGTTTGTTTGTTTGTTTGTTTGTTGGGGGTTTGGGGGATTTTTTTGTTTGTTTTGGGTTTTTTTGGTATGTATTAGCTATCTTATGCAAAATATCCCTAATTTAAAAATAAAATCCCTCTCATGAAGTAAAGAAAGACAATGATTTAACACCTTTCAGGAGGATTTTTAGATTTTTGCCCTGCAGAAGGAATTCCCAGACAATTTCCACACCAGCCTGTCCAGAAGGTGAGTTTGCTTGGCTGTAGGGAGAGGAGAGATGTAACTCCCTGACCATGCAAATCCACTGATAGCTGCAACCCTGCTCCCTCATCATGTCACTTGGAACAGATGTCCTATTTCTAAATCCACTGTGCTGATAAAGCCCCGTATTTGGGACTTATTCTGTGGGTTGCATATTGAATTTTGCCTTAATTTGTCATATATATATATTAGGAACTAGTGAAAAACATATGAAAACCTTCAGTTATGAAATGAATTTTCCTATTTGCATTACAGGAAGAAATTATCCAGGACTTCCAAGTTTCTAGATAAAATCCCCTTTAATAATTACATACCTACAAGGAAATGTAGCCTGGAAGTTTTTGCTTGCAGTGTATGGTTGCAACATGTATAGTTATAGTGTTAAATAAGTACACAGCTGGGTAATTTTTGCTGAATTTCCTTTCGAAGAAGGATTTAGGGGTTGTTTAAAATGTTTAAGCTTTGGCTGTTCGATTTGTTTCGATTTTGCCTTGTTAGTTTCTGGGTTTTTGTTGAGAATGATGGTGTTTAGTTTATTTGTTTTATATAAATCTGAACACTTTGCCAGTTCATTGTGCACATACCTTCACAGTTTTGTTCTCAGCCAGTATAATTTTCTCTTTCTAGCCTGTGGATATATGAGGGAACTGTGTTATGGGTCCAGTGCTACACCAAGTACTGAAATACTTCCATTGTAAAATTCAGGTAAAAAATGAATTGATGTTCGATTATGGGGATGCTACATTTGAAAGATATACTCTCAAACAGTCAACATAAGATAACTTCCAATAGTTTCACTGTACACATCTTAATGATTTATAAATTTTACACTTTGTAAATATAACTTACTTTTTTTCCTGGCAGGTAAAACTTGCATGTTTCTGTCACCTCTCACTTTCTAGTCTGTGCAAGGGATCTTTTTCAGCCAGTGAATTTTATTTAATTTTTTTCACAATGTCTCAACACACTGTGTGAATCTGTTAAACAGTAACCTAAAACTCTGACAAAAAAAAAGCCACAGACAATAGGACTTTTACTGTAATGCCCTTGTGGCTTTAGCACGGAAATAAGTCTTTAGAAGGTCACTGTGTAGAGTTTGCCACCCTCTAAAATGGTAAATAGAATGATATTTTAAATGAAGAAAATGCTAGAATACATGAGACAACACTGGGTGAGTACATTTTTAGGATGCACCTGGTGCTTCCTCTGGAATAAAAAGGATTAGTGATTCAGTTTAATGGAAATTAAGTCACTGGATTTGAATGATAATACAGGATAAATATCTCCAAAAATAAATACTGAGATGAAGGCAAGATGTTTATCTCTACCAGCCAGGACAAAAACGTTATCCTGTGATAAGTTCTGTACCACTGCCATAGTCTTATGCATTGTCTGTAACAATTTAGGAGGGATGCTTCTTCTCCTGTATGTGTGAGATGGTGAATACTGTTGGATTTTTATAAAATTTGAATAATCTAGATATTTTACTTTACAGTCTTAAAGAACAAATTGGATTTTTAAAAGTGTTTTATGCTTTGGAGTTGCAATGTGCATGATACAGCTTCTGTTTTGAAGACAATTTAAAATTGCCTGTTTTAAAGACAGCTAGAATTGCTCAGCTAAATAGGCCTTTTTCACCTGGCCATGTAAGTTTATTAGGAACATCTAAATGATTATGGTGTCACCAGTTTACAAAAATGAGCCCTGAAGACTTTGCATATAACCTGCATGTTCAGAAAACAAAATATATTTTAGCAATGTATGAATCACCAATATTTTCATAGCCTTTGCATATCACTTATGGACGATCTGTGAAGATCACATTACAGGACTCTTTCCTTTATTTACTGATTTTTCCATCCTTCCACCGTCAGTCTTAAAGGATATTTGGCATAGTTACACATTCGCATGTGCACATATAAATGTGTGCATCTATGCTTGTCAGTAAGGCTTTTTTTCTGCCATGTGCTAAATCACTGCAAATGTGTGGTAAACCACCACATCTCATTGTCCATGGCTAAACCAGAAGTGCAGACCTTGGGCTCCAGGACGGCTGGCCAGGAGAAGTGACCTTGAATGGGTTGGGATTACTATTCATTGGGCCCCAGATGCAGCTTGGTGCATCCAGTGCCTGTGCTGATCAACCAGCATGAGATATGCTAACTCCTATCCAGTCTATTTGCATGGGCTTCTTTCTCTGGGGAAGTGATTGGGACAGAGCCAGACCCATAGCCATGCCCAGGGGTCAGAAGTGCTCCTGGGCCCCCACATGAAAATGGACGATGCAGGCTGGCATCAGCTACTGCAAAACAAAATGTATGTGACAATGGCCTAGGACAAGCCTTAGGGTTATGGATGGCCAAGATGTGGGTCCTGTGCCTTCCCTTGGCATTGACAATGTCTAGATACCCACTGGTTTCATTTAGGAAGCTATAAATACATACATCTGCAGCACAGCAGAATGCAATCTCTTGTGTAAAACAACTGTTGGTCCTAATGGATTTTTAACAGTCAGAGTTCTGGGACAGCTTTTGTTTTTTAAGTTTGAATGATCTGACTGTAGCTGATAAACTATGTCTTACAATCTTGCAGTTTTATCACGGGTTGCCAAAGATCTATGCATAGAATAACAAGGAAAACCCTGTAACTACATAGCCTAATGCAGACATTTTTTCCTCTATTGCAGCAGTGACAATGGCAGTAAATTGGGAAATGCTTTTTTATCCTGTGTGTTTACCTAGTTCTTCTCTAAAGGTAAAAATATTGTCTCCATTTGGAGATATGGGAATTTCAAGACCGCCTGCCAGATTATGCCTTGATTTAAGATTACAGAGAGGTGAATGAGTGCATGTGTGTGTGTCTGTGCGCGCGCATATGTCCTGTAAGCTCAGAATTCACAGCAGATGTTCACTGATCTGAGCCTGTTGTTTTCAAATCTGTCAGCAACTCCAGCAAGGAAGGGGAGGGGGAGGAAGGGAGGGTCTCTGGCTACCCAGCAAGGTAAGATGTGTTTACTTACGGCAGCCCACCACCAAGCATGGGGAATGCTGGTGAAGTTGGTACTGGAGACATCGTGCTCCACTGTGTAGACCATGGCAGAGAAGGCAAAGATGCCCATAGCAATGAAGAGCAAAAGGCAGCCCACCTGCTGGTAGCACTGGCGCAAGGTAAAGCCAAAGGCACGCAGCCCTGTGGAGTGGCGGGCCAGCTTGAGGATGCGGAAGATGCGCATGAGGCGCATGATGCGAAGCACTTGTCCTACCTTGCTCACCCGTCCCACCTTCTCAATATCGTGCTCGTGCTGGGAGCCCCGACCCCGGGGCTGGTCATCATCAGTAAAGCATTCAAGCAGCAGCTGCAGATAGAGGGGCAGGATGGCAATGAGGTCTACTGCATTGAGGGCACTGCTGGCAAAGCGGCGCAGGTCTGGGGTAGAGACCAAGCGCAGCAGGTACTCCAGTGTGAAGAACGCAATGCACAGGGTCTCAACATGCTCCAAGACAGGCCGACTATCCCCACTCTTCCAGTCTACCTGCTGCATCTCCTCTACTGTGTTGAGTGCCAGGGCCACTACGGAGATGAGCACGAAGAAGCTGGACGCCACTGCCATCACTTTGGCAGTGACAGAGGAGAAGGGTTTCTCCATGAGGTTCCAGAGGCGCCAGCGCTGGGGACCGTAGTAGCGCATGTGGTGGAAGAGCTGCTCGTTCTCCTCAGCCTCTGCCTGGGAGCGCAGCTCCCGCTGGACCTTCAGCTGCTCACTCAGCTCATCCCGGCGCTCCTCGAAGCAGATGCGGCAGCAGCGGGGTGTGTATTTGAGACGCACGCCCCAGTAGCTCAGCTCCTCCAGGAAGCTGCGGGGGCACAGCTCGTCCCTCACCCGCAGCACTCCTGAGGCATAGAAGTTGTACACCAGCTGGAAAACAGCTGGGTCCCGGTCAAAGAAATACTCATCAACCTGGGCAGCGTAGTCATCGCACAGGCCCAGCTGGCAACGACGGTCCGTGGAGGTAGCCAGGCGGCCCAGGCGGGTCTTGGGATAGATAGCCACTGCCTGGTAGGTGAGGCGGTAACTTTGGCCACCAACATTGATGTTCAGCACGGATGGAACAGATGCTGTGGCCGGGGCTCTGGGGGAAAGAGCAGGGGAACAAGGAATAAATGATGAGGCCTTGTCTTCTCCTTTAAATGCATCTTCTTGTGGCCAGTTTTCTTGCTCTTTCTCTTCATCTTCCTCATCTTCATCATCCACATAATAGTTGTAATTCCCCTCAGGTCCTAGTTGCAGTAGGGGCTGGGCATTCGAGGAAGCGGTGGCAGAGGAACCACTCTGCTTGTCTACATGAACGACTTCCTTTTCTTTCCCCTTGCTGGGCTGTAGGAGGATGTTTGGGGCTTCCATCTCTCTGCCTTTATGTTTTAGGAAAGAAAACTCTTGCTGCCTGTTAAACTGCAACATAATATTATTCCTTACTCTTCTGCCTTCTTTTCATTCACCCGATCAAGCAGTTAACACCAGTCCTTTTCAACACTGCAAAAAACTGACAACCTGGTTTTCTTCTCTCTTTATCTCAGAAGTATCAGGCACAGCAGTGGTTCTGCATATTTCTCCCTGCCAGCCACCACTCCAGTTGTTGTGAAAGCTCTGTGTGGGATATAGACACATGAAGACTGCTGTTGACCGTTTTAATCTTGCTGACAGCAAAGATCTGAGTGCTTAGAGGAGAGGATTTAAGGGCTATTATCCTGTTCAAGCCTCGTTTCCCTTAGGCTGTGACGTGAATGATTATGGATCCATAAAATTATGAAAAATCAGTAGGGGGGGAAATCCCCTAAAGTTTTATTGCTAATAAAACCCATACATTTTCCTATTTCAAGTATATCTGGATTAAAAATAATCTCAAATAAAAATGTATGAGGGGCAGAGAGAAAAAGAGCATTACAAATTTTTTTCATCCTCATGAGTGTAGCATGGCTTGGTTTTCTTTAATGAAAATCATTAATAATTGATATACAGATAAAGGGTAGGAGTAGCTCTCAAAATGTTTTCAAAAGGTGAGCAAATAAAAGTAATTTAATTTTATTCACAGTTAGAATACCTCCATTTGGTTAAGAGCTAAGGAATATTTCAGTCTGTGCCTGAAGTTTTGGATGTACTCTGGAAGTGCAGGTCTAATGCACAGTGGAAGCAAAGGACAGGGGTGTGAAGGGGTTTTCAGCTTCAAACTCTTCATTAGCTCCTGAGAAACAGCATAAAGCTGCTCTTGTTTTTTTGCAGATAGTGTTAGAGTAGTATAAAGCTGCAGAGGGTAGCTAGAAGGACAGGAGAAATGCTTTCCTTGTGTTTGGATAGCTCCAGTTGAGCTGGCACCAGGGATTCCTGTAACAACGAGCATCCCAAAAAACCATGTTACTTCGCTTTGTCACTGAGAACACTTCAGCTAAGCTGGAGCTCCTGTAAAGCAAAAGATGCACACAACAAAATGCTGGTTCCCTGTGCATGCTTTTAGCACCTGGCTTATGACTCCTAAGCAGCAGCTCATTATTCCACCTGTACCCAGGCTGGTGCAGGAAGAGACAAGGCACTGGAAAACTACTAGCTTTGGCAACACCCTTGCTAGTCTGGAAGGCTTCCCACCTGCAATTCTGTAGCCTGCCTTCTGCTCCCAGCTCCCTTTCACACAGGCTGCTGGGACAGCGTATCCCAGAGCACTGCAGCAGTGTTTTCACTTTATTGTCCTCAGACTCCTGTTCTTCTGCATTGGTCTCATGTTCTTGCATCTGCAGACCCCAGTACTTTTGTTTTGGTAGTGTCCTATGTGGAACAATCGCTGTTGCTATAAGAATGTCTTTTTTCCTGTATCCTTACCTCCAGTTGTAGCTTTTGTATTTATATTTACTAGTTCTTGACAAAATGGAAGATGCCATAGCTGAGCATTTTACAATACTTTTGGTCTCAATCTGTTTTCTAGTGAGTGGATCCCACTAAACTATTCAAGGTTTCTTTGAGTCACACTGTTTAAGGCATAAATTATTTGTAATTCATAATTAACTCTGCTTGAAAGAGAGTTTGTCTCCCCTGCCAGTTCTCTTTCTTGATGCAAAGGAGGCAAGGCCCCTATTAATAGGGATCGTCAGTACCTCTTTAGAGATACCAACCTGGTTTGCATTTTGCTTTGAGCATTAAACCTGACCATGGTGAGTCCTTTGCATACCAACCTTCATGCAAATCTCTGTCAAGTTTCAAAGCTGTTTCTTTCTCCTAAGAAAACTAATTCAGATGCTACAAAAAGGTAGTTCACAACACCATCATTTTAGTACTGAAAATCCTTGAATATTTCTTAATCAAGATCCAGGGTAGACTATAACCATATTCCTCATGCCAGTCTCTGCTGTAGCATTTAATTTTGCTTGTTGTCAGGCTTCCTGGCCTCTTCTGAGAGATATCCAGTAAGGTTTATTGCTCACTATTCAAGAGATCATTTCTTACACCATACCACAGAAACAGGAACTTCTACAGGGTGAACTTCATGACTGTCAGGCACCAGTTCCTCATGCACCTGGACTCAGACCTTGGGCATCATTACTAAGCAAAGCAAGGAAGATCACTAGCTTTGTTCTGCTCAGACTAATCTCTTTGACCTAGATATTCTTGGGAATAGAGCTCTGGGGCACCTGCCGCACTCTGCTCAACCTTGCCTCTAACTGACAAAATAGCTAAAATAAAATAGTTTCATATATGTTCTTTATTTTCTGGTGGGAGTTAATTCTGAGACATTAGATTCTGAGTCTAGATATATGAGAAAATGAAGTGACTAGAAGGGAACCACTTTTTCCTCTTATCTATCTTATTCAGTGTGCTGCTTTTCTTCATAAATGTCATTAGTAAGAATTGCTTGTCTTTTTGTAAGGGGAGGAGCAGACTATGGGCTGCTTAAAGAACTAGTTAGTGAAGTCTCTTGGGAACCTTTTTTTTAAAGTTATTTGAGTTACATGCTTGTCCCTTCTAAAGAGCTCTCTTTAAATTAAAGAGTGCAGGAGCAGCCAAACACAATGTGTTGAAAGCCAAGTCAATGGGGCAGAAGGCTGGCTTGGCTGAGCAGTGTGCTTAGATGAGGAAGGAAAGCATATGAACACTGGAAGCGAGGTGACATGGGAGGATGACAGCATCTGACAGAGATGCTGCACGTCTCTGTGGAGAGAAAATCTGTGTGGCCAAAACTCAGATAGAATTCAAGCTGTCCAGGACAAGCTGTGAAGGAAAGCAAAAACGGCTTTTTTGGTTTTTAAGTGTTAACGCAAAAAAAGGATCAGAGATTACATTGGTCCATTGCTTAATGAGATCCAAATAAAATTGCAGACACAGCAGAAAACGATGCCACCTTTGCTATCTGTCTTCAAGGACAATGACGAGCTGAGATCTTTGGAGCCCATTGTTGGAAGGCTGTCACTTGGGGAATGATGTATTCCCAGGCAATCCTGAAATTGTTTGAGACTTGCTGTTTCAGTTGGATGCACACAAGTGTATGAGGCTGGATAGGATTCTTTCCACGGAAGAACTGGCTGATGTACTTGGCAGGACCTCACTCCATTATATTTCATTCGTCTTGTGAGTCTGGAGATGTCCCAGTCATCTGGAACCTGGAAATTTGTCCCAGTTTTCAAGAAGGGTAAAAAGAAAACTTCGGAAGTTATAGGCCTGCCATTTCCACTGCAGCATGTGGTAAAATGATAGGGAAGGTTTTTCTGGAAGCTATTGAAAAATGTTTGAGAGACAATGCAGTCATTGGTCAACAGCCAGCAAGGGTTCACAAGGGAAAAGTCCTGTTTGACCAATTTAATTTTCTTTTATGTCAAAGCAACCCATCTAGGTGGCCAAGGGAAGCCAGTAGATGTGGACGGAAGATGTTCTTTGTTTTAGCAGAGCTTTGGGTACTGTCTGCCACAGTACCCTGTTGGATAAAGTGCCTGGCACACAGCTACTTCAGTCCATAATGCATTGTGTGAGCAACTGGCTGGTAGTTTGGGCTCAAAGGGTTTTGGTAAACGTTGTTACATCAGGCTGGCAGCCAGGGACCAGAGGTTCCTCAGGGCTCCATTTCAGTGCTAGTGCTCTAAAACGTATTTATAGAAGATTTGGATGCAGGGATCAAATGTACATTAAGTAGGTGTGGTGATGATACTACACTAGGAAAAGTTCTGGACTCTCTTGAGAGTAGAGAGGATCTGCAGAGAGATGTGAGTAGATTACAGATTTGGGTGACTACCAACAATTAGAAATTAAACAAGATCAGTTGCAGGATTCTCTACCTGGGATAGGGTAACCCTGGATGTACATGCAGATTTGAGGACAAAAGACTTGGAGAAAGAGATCTGGGGGCCCTGGTCGATGGCAGGTTGAACATGAGTCTGCAATACCCTGTCAAGCCAGGAGGGCCAACCCTGTCCTGGGGGACACCAGGCACAGCATCACCAGCCAGGTAAGGGAGGGGATTGTCCAGCCCTCCTCTGAGCTGGGGCAGCCTCACCTCGAGTGCTGGGGACAGTTCTGGGTGCCACAGTGTAAGAACATTGAACTATTAGAGTGTCCAAAGGAGTGTGACCAAGACAGAGAAAGTTCTCAATGGCAAGACTGAGGCCACTTGGTTTCCTCAGCTTGGAGAAGATAAGGCTGAGATGACCTCACGGCAACCTACAGCTTCCTCAAGGTGGGCAGTGGAGTGAACGGTGCTAATCTCCTCTCTCTGGTGGCCAGTGATAGGATAAGGGGAAATGGAATGAAGCTGAATCAGGAGAAGTTCAGACTGGACATTAGGAAAAGGTTCTTCATGGAGGTGGTGGTCAGTGACTGAATCATGCTTCCCAGGGAAGAGGTCACAGCACCAAGACTGCCAGAATTCAAGGACTGTCTAGACAACACTATTAGTCATGTGGTTCAATTTCAGGTAGTCCTGTGAGGAGTGGGAATTTGGATTTGATGATTCTTATAAATCCTTTCCAATCTGAGATACTGTATGATTCTCTGATTCTATGGATGGAAGAAGAAATGTGAAAACTCAGCAGTCAGTAATACTGGAGAATGCTGTCCATTCAACCTGACAGTGCTCTGGGTACCAGCTTCCTGAGAACAGGATTTTAACAGCAGAAAGCTATATTGAAATGGAAGACAGTCATGAGCAGATGGGTCTTTGAAAACCTTCATTTTTAGGAGTGCTGACTTTTCCAGGATAGGGGACTGTAGTAGTAATACAACTGTAGTTGCAATGCTCTTTCACTGAGCAAATCAGCTTCAGAATTGAGTACAAGTGCTTTTTCTTTGTTTAAAAATTAGAGAATTTTTAAATTAAAATTGCTTTAAAGAATTCATATGATCCTATAAAGCCTCAGTTGATTAGTTCCTACCTCACGAAGAACTTTTCATACATTAGTTTTTTTAGTTTTTCTAGTTTTTTAGTAGTT